GTGCAGAAATGGCCGGTGGTTGTGGGGAATGAAAAACAAAAAAACCATTCTCCATTGCAATCTTGTTTTCGATCATAATTTTCGCAGCCCAAAGTGAGAAACACCGTGAGTTGAACCAGCCCAATAAAAGCCTCGATCGATCTCTGGCATTGATCTCGGATCATTTTCTAACAAACGTTGGAGGGCATAACGTCTTGTAATTGATTCTTTGCTTTTCGCCTTCTGTCTATGCCCATAAACGTAAGCAAAATGTAGTCAATAGCACAGACACATATTTAACAACTTATGTGGGCGGGACACTTGGTCCGGATGCCAAACACACAGCGATCCCAGAAACTTCTTCTCAGAACTGGTACGTAGAAGTCGGAGCATTGAGTGCCCCCCCCCTCCCCCCTAGAACAACAACAACAACCAACCAACAAACAAAATACAACAACCCCAAAATTGTTTTTTAAAGAGAGATATATATATAAGATAATCAAGACACTATAACCAAAAGACTTATCTGAAAAATAGCTCCGTTGACGTGGATGTGGGGAAAACCATCTGTCTTGATCGATCAGTGTTGTAGGCCTATAATTAAGTCATGACATGAAGTGGCAATAGGCTTTCGTCGAGAAAAACAGAGTTTCTAAGGCAGATGATGTGACAAAACAAGCAAGAAAACCAAGACAGTCAAATCCTGATATTTACATAGGCCCAAAAGACCACACGTGACATGCTTGCGGAAAATTCTTCTGACCCCCCAATTTAAAAAAAAAATTCAACCAGTTTTAAGGCACTATTACTATTATAACGATTAAGCAGATACGCACCGAACTTATTTAAGGAGTAGCTTCTCTTCCTCATTGGATGTTAAACTTAAACATCATCATCAGTTTATGATGGACGAACTGTTTTGATTAGATTATCGTGATTACATCCATCATAATCGTTATAGTCACATATATCTTCATCCCCATTCCCCCCTCAGACGTCGTGTCCATGGGAAAGGCACTTTACTCGAATGTTGCAGTGTGATTAATAGCTCGGTTCTTTCGGAGATGGACGCAAAATTTGGAGGTGTAAATTTAGCCTCCTTGTCAAGAGAGAGAGAGAGAGAGAGAGAGAGAGAGAGAGAGAGAGAGAGAGAGAGAGAGAGAGAGAGAGAGAGAGAGAAGAGAGAGGAGGAGAGAGAGAGAGAGAGAGAGAGAGAGAGAAGAAGAAGAAGAAGAAGAAGAAGAATTTAATAACCTGTAAGTTACAGTGT